CTTATGCTTTATGTCTGTTGTATTCTATTTATCGAAAACTCATCGGATTGGTCGATTTATCGGATTCGTCCATTAATCAGATTAGTCGACATTTCCATTGACTATAAAATTTAGAATTTAGAAATGAAAATTTAGAATATGATTAAAACTTGCATTGTTATTCGGCAAAAATTTCCAGATGAAATCTTATATCATTTTTCCCTCCCTTATTACATATTTTAAAATTCTGTTCCAAATCTTCCTTTCCTTTATCATCTAATATCAAGTAGTCGAGCTTGAAAGTTTCAGAACAAAGTGAAATAGACATGGTTTTAGATGATAAAACCATTTAACACTTTTTATATCTTCAAATGCAACATTTCATTATATTTTAGATTAAGAGACGCTACTTTTATTCAGTCCATTACCAAATTAATAGACGCACCATGAGATTGTATGTAAAATGTTAGTTATCAGGTGATACTATACAACTTTATTGTTTTTACGCAGCTGAAACCGGTTTGCACTTGTTTACGTTCTTGCACCAATTGGTCAAATTAGGAGATATATAATATGAATTCGATGATTGGATAAATTAGACGATATATTATATAAATATATAATATTTATTACATCCGATAGATTAATATATTATAATAATTAGACAAATTATTAGACGCACTGTAGTGTTTCAATAATTATATGTTTTGCACGAGTTTATGTGCAATACCTTTATATTTAAACATACATGTAATGGGTTTTTATTCCAGATATTTTTTTTTATATACTTCCGAATTATATTAATTTTTAACTCATTGCATTACAATGTTAAGCAATTGATGCACGAACGTAAACAAGTGCAAACCGGTTTCAGTCGCATTAAAACAATAAAGCTTTATAGTATCACCTGATAATTAAAATTTTACGTACAATCTTATAGTGAGTCTAATAATTTGGAATAGGACTGTAATTTTTGTACCAAAAATTTGAAATAAAAAAATTTAATAGAATTTCCATTAAGCTAAATTGATTAAAATATAAATTAAAAAAAGTATATTAAGAAAAATATATATTAAGAAAACTTAAGAATTCTATCGAATAACCATTACTTTTCGCGAAACGTGATTTTATGCACATTTTTTTTAAATGACTACATTTAATAGTATTTAAAATCATTGCCAATATAAGCGATAAAAAGATATTAAAATAATAAACAACCATTGATTTTCGCACAATAAGAAATTATCATAATACATTAAAAGTCCATCAAAATGCAAAGCCTAATGGTGGTAACTATTTAAATCATGTTGTATTGGCCAGCACTGTGTTATTATTATATTTTATAACAAAACTATTCTTTGTTAATACTTTTAGTCTGTAACATGCACATTTATAATATATTTGTGCTCTCGTTATTTTATCAAAGGAACCAATTTAAGTAAAAGGCTTTTACTTTTATTTAGCTTTTTGAATGATTTCTTTCTTTCATATTTTCAAAGGCAATTCGAAACATCATTTAAAGCAAAAAATCATTTAAATAAATTTATTTTAAAAAGTACTTTTTGCATGAATAAAGCTTATGAAATGTTCATCATGCCTTTTTTTTCCGAGAAGGAAACATCATAGGTTAAATATTGCGAAGACTGTTAGTGGTAAGTGTTAAAGTACGTTATATTGGTTTGCATTATATTATTATTATTTTTTTTCACTTAAAATGAATTTTAGTTTTAAATATTTTCGGTTTGTATTTTTAGTAATTTTGTTAGCATTTGGATTTTTTTTAAAAAAATTTCTTTTCTTTTGCGTTCATTGCAACAAAACATTGTAACAATGAAAATAAATTTTAGCTTTAAATATTTTTGGTTTATATTTTCAATAATTTTGTTAGCATTTGTATTTTTTCTTAAATTTCTTTTCTTTTGTGTTCATTGTAACAGAACATTGTAACAATGAAAATAAATTTTTGTTTATATTTTTAGTAATTTTATTAGCATTTGTGTTTTTTTTTAAATTTCTTTCTATTGTGTTCATTGTAACAGAACATTGTAACATAGAAAATGTATTTTTGGTTTATATTTTTAGTAATTTTGTTAGCATTTGTATTTTATTTAAATTTCTTTTCTTTTGTGTTCATTGTAGCAGAACATTGTAACATAGAAAATGAATTTTTGGATTATTTTTTTAATAATTTTGTTAGCATTTGTATTTTTTTAAAATTTCTTTTCTTTTGTGTTCACTGCAACAGAACATTGTAACAAAGAAAATAAATTTTTGGTTTATATTTTTCGTAATTATGTTAGCATTTGTATTTTTTTTAAATTTCTTTTCTTTTGTGTTTACTGCAACAGAACATTGTAACATTGAAAATAAATTTTGCTTTTAAATGTTTTTGGTTTATATTTTCAGTAATATTGTAAGCATTTGCATTTTTTTTAAATTTCTTTTCTTTTGTGTTCATTGCAACAGAACATTGTAACATTAATAAAAAATAATCAAACACTGAAAAGCAAAACTAAAAAAAAAAAAAAAATTAAATGCACCTGAATTATTTAACTGTCTGGAATCTTTTTAAAAATCTAGGAAGCTCCTTCCCCTGTTCGCTTCGTTCACTAACTTCTGAGAGAAGAACGGTTAATGTCTATTTCTTTTCCTTCAGAAATTGTGATTTGCCATCTATTGCATTTTAAGGAAAACTCTGAGCTTTAGCAAATCAGTAGCATGGAAAATCTGCTCCCCCCCCCTCCCGAGAGTTATTATATATTAAAGAGGAGCCATGCTGAGGACTAAAAAACTGAACTAAAACCCTCTTCAAAAAATAAAAAATAAAAAAAAAGTGAGTATCATATGATCACAATTCAAGAACTATTTATGGGATGTCTCTGATCCCATATCTCAAAAATATACTCATCAACTTAATGCATAACAAAATTAAAAGAGAATTCTAAAAAAATATCAAACAGCAGCGCTCACCATAGCAAAGCAAGAAATAACGACGCATGCGCACTGTTTACTATAACTCTTGAGGACAGTTAAAAAGTGTGATGACGTCCAAATAAGGTGCCCAAGCCATCAAACCCAAAGCAACATTCATTTTCATAATACTCGATAGTAAAAGTTTTATAATTTTATTTTCAAGTTACTGATGCTTTCCAGACACTTTTTACTTAGAGCTTATCCTCTACAACAAGGAGACGACACCACGTAGGATTGGTTTGTAATAATTCTGCCCAAAATCGGGGAGTGATTCTGTTATCCTCTGTGTAAAGATCGCCCCCAGGGGCACACCCGGGGCTCTCAGCTGGACTTGAGCATTTTTCTATATCTCTCCTGCGACGGTCCTGTTTTGAGTTTCTGACTTTCATTATTTATTACATTGACCTAGTGAGCAATTATTTGAGCTTTTATATTTTTGATTATTTTTGTTACGTTTATATATACATATGTATATTTATTAATTATGTTTCACTTCTTCATTTGTATTATATTTATTTATAAAAAAATTTCACTCTTGTCGTGGTTGCCAAATTGATTGGTAAAGGGCTTTTCGTCTTGGTTTCGGTTTTATATCAAACTCTGATGGGAAGAAAACCATCCGCGTGTTTGCCGTGCGTGGAGACCCGTGTCCCTGGAAAGGGGGATCCTGGTAGTTGAGGGGCATCTTGGTACCCCAACACACTACTTTGGCCCCTGCTTCAGGTAAACGGGAGGTGCATAGTGGCCCGTATGCATTAATCGGCATGTCACAAACGTCATCTGATGGCTAGGGTCAAGCCAAGGGGTCACTTACTGAGCACCTCGTTAAGGGTGGAGGCTGCTTCAGGGGTGACTTTCGGGCGTATAGCTATTGGCCAGCATCGGTGTTAAGTGACAGATTTTTCACTGTCACTTACATCCCCTAAGTTGGACTCCGTGGTGGGTGGTGCAGTTGATAGTGGAAGTTGATTATTTGTTTCTATGGCTGAAAATGAACAGATGGTGTTCAGTTCCACACACCGAAACAAAAGCAGGACAATTTTCTCACCTAGTTTCAATCCTGCTAAATGCACAAATTACGACCCCACTACAGCAAAATTTCTGATCTTAAGCTCTACAGAAAAGAAACTTTCGTCTATATCACCATTTTTAGTTCAAAAAACACTTGAAGCAAATATTGGTAATCCTAAAAAGGTAAAACAGATGCCATCAGGAGACTTGTTAATCGAAACAAATTCCAACAAACAAACAGCTTCACTTTTGAAATTATCTGAACTCGGAAACGTTAAAATCTCAGTAACCTCTCACAACACTCTAAATATATCTAAAGGCGTGATCTCTGATAAGACGTTACAATCACTCCCAATTTGTGAAATAATCGAAGGTCTCTCCAGTCAAGGAGTTATAGATGCACGGCACATAACCATAAAAAAGGTCCAGAAATAGTTACCACTCAACACATAATCTTAACATTCAACACTTCTATACTACCTGATGATATTAAAGCAGGGTACCGAAACTGTAAAATTCGCCCATACATTCCTAATCCACTCCGATGCTTCAAATGTCAAAAATTTGGCCATTCTACAAACAACTGCAGAGGAAAAGAGACTTGCTCTCGCTGCAGTGAAACCGGTCACACTTTTAAAACCTGTAATCAGCCAGAAAAATGTACTAACTGTTCCGAATCTCACTCTGCAAATTCTCGCCAATGTCCTAAATGGAAACAGGAAAAACAAATATTAAATATTAAAGTAATGCAAAACTTGTCATATTTTGAAGCCAAAAGTAAATTTTTAAGCTCACAACCTAGACTTAATGTTTCTTATGCTTCAGTGGTAAAAACTTCAAAAACAACTAAATCCATAGGTATACAGACTGACAATAGTGAATCTGAACTTCGAAATACAAAACTTACCATATCACCCAAATGTTCAAAAGCTCTGACAACAACTCCTTCTCAGACATCCAATACGTTAAAATCTAAAACTGTACAGCTTTCTCAGCAATCCAAAGTCTCAACCCCATCAACTTCTGATCAGTTATCTCAAAATACTATTAAAAACAGTCAATACCTGAAAATAACCCCGCAAATGGTCAATGTTCTTCACAAAAAATTAACTCAATCCCCATTGGTAAGTAAACCTAAATATGTATCTAAAAGCAGACAAAATCGTTTCAATAAAAACCGGAAAAAACTACCAAACAGCCAACAGGATCAGCTTTCATCTGATACGATGATTACAGACGACGAGAATTGCTCAGATGCTTCTCAAAACTCTCAAATGCAAATAGAAAAAGGGATGGAAACTCCAGAAAACCTGAAACCCAAAAACATTAAAAATAAAAAATAATGGCCGATAAACTCATATCGTGGAATTGTCGTGGGTTTTATGTTAATTTTCCAGATATCAAAAATTTAATTGAAAAACATAATCCCGCTTGTTTCGCACTTCAGGAAACATTTTTGAAACCTAACCACAAAGCTAATGTACAAAGATATTCGCATCTAAGGAAAGATTTTATTGATGGAAATAAGGCATGCGGAGGTGTATCTCTCTTGATTTCAAAAAGTTATCCATTTTCACCTGTTCTATTGACAACTACCTTGCAAGCAGTAGCAGCACAAGTTACATTTCAATCAAAACTCATCACAATATGCAGTCTGTACCTTCCACCAAACCAATCAATATTGCAATCAGATCTAAACAAACTAATAGCTGAACTACCGCAACCATTTATAATCACAGGTGATCTAAATGGGCATAGCATAACTTGGGGAAGTGATACTACAAATTCTCGCGGGAATCAAATAGAAACATTAATAGACGACCACCAACTCTGTATACTAAATACTGATGAAAAAACACATTTCCACTTTCCATCTCGTACATTCCATTCCATTGATTTGACACTGTGTTCACCACGCATTTATACCTTATTAAAATTTTTTGTTTGGAATGACCTTTATCATAGCGACCATTTTCCACTAATCATCAATATTTTGAAACCTGGAAATACGAATACAGTGCACTCCCCTAGACTGCTAACACACTTAGCAAACTGGACACTTTTTCAAGAGTCCCTAGCATTCGACGAAGAAATTGTTTATAATGGTAATATTGAAGAAGCTGCACAACATATTACAAATTCTCTAATATCCGCATCTGAAAATTCCATTCCACGTACTTCAAATAATTTACCTAAATACCCAAAACCATGGTGGAACGAAGAATGCAGACAAACTCATAAAGCTCAAAGACGAGTCTGGAGAATATTCCGTCGACACCCAACTGTTGAAAATTTAATCCTGTTTAAAAAATCCCGTGCATTTGCAAGGAAAACTGGAAGGCAAAGCCAAAGAGAATCTTGGATTAAGTATATAAGTACCATAAATAACAATACGAAAGCAAAAGAAATTTAGCAAAAATAAAAAAATATCTGGTCATTACAACTCCTTACCTATTACGCATCTTGAAGTAAATGGAAATAAATTAACAGAAATTAAAGAAATAGCAAATACCCTAGCCGAAAACTTTTCCCGAGCCTCTAGTACAGAAAATTACTCTCCAACTTTCCAAAAATGCAAAACTCAAACTGAAAAAATGTACTTAGACCCTCTGTTGAACCTCACAATGATTACAATTCTCCTCTAACAATAACTGAATTAAAATCTGCTATTAATAAATGTAAAGAAACATCTCCAGGGCCTGACAAAATTCACAATAGTATGTTTAAACACCTCTCTGACACCCATTTGGAAATAATTTTAAAACTGTTTAATAGAGTTTGGCTGAATAGACAATTCCCATCAATATGGAGAAAATCATATATAGCTGCCATTCCTAAACCAGGTAAGGACCCTATACATCCTACCAATTACCGATCAATCGCTCGCACCAGTTGTCTTTGCAAACTTCTAAAGAGAATAATAAACGCAAGATTAATATATTTATTGGAATCTCGTTGTATTTTATCTAAGAGACAAAGCAGATTTCGCAAGTGTAATTCAACTGTTGACAATCTAATGCTCTTAGAAACTGATATACGTGAAGCGTTTTTAAAAAGGCAATATCTTGTGACGATATTTTTTGATATTGAGAAAGCGTATGATCGAACGTGGAGATACGGCATTTTAAGGGACCTTTTAAATTATGACATTAATGGAAATATGTTTTATTTTATTCAAAACTCAACAGGACATTTCAAGTTAGAATGAATAACACTTTATCTGACACTTTTAATCAAGAGGAAGGTGTTCCTCAAGGTAGTGTCATTAGTGTAACCTTATTTCTTATAAAAATAAATGATATTTTAACCACATTACCATCTACAGTGGACGGCAGGCTATTTGTTGATGATCTGCGGATCTCTTATAAGGCATCTCAGATGCACACTATCGAAAGACAATTGCAGCTCGCTATTAATAAATTATCCCAATGGACTGAGTTAAATGGTTTTAATTTTTCTACAACTAAGACAACGAGTATACACTTCTGTGGACGAAGAGGGATCCACCCCGATCCTGAACTGTATCTCAAAAACTTCCGCATTCCCGTTTTAAGCGAAACAAAATTTCTTGGCTTGATCTTAGACTCTTAACTCACTTTTACATCTCATATTAAGCACTTAAGAAAAACCCGTGGACTGAAATTAAATTTACTTAAAGTTTTGACAAACACCTCTTGGGGTGCAGATACAGATGCCATGCTCAAAATTTATAGGTGTACCATTTGATCTAAACTCGACTATGGTTGCGTTGTCTACGGATCAGCAAGAAAATCTGTTCTTAAATATCTTGACACCATCCATAATTCCGGCATGCGTATAGCAACAGGAGCATTTCGCACATCATTCATAAAAAGTCTCAACGTTTTATATCATGAACCAACTCTTGCTGAACGACGCAATAAGTTAACATTGAGATACTATTTTCATGTCAAAATCCATCATATACATTCCATGTTTTCAAATGTTACAACTCCATTTTATGAAAGATTATTTAGTAACAGACCCTCTGCAATACCGACTTTTGGTTTGAGAGTAAGAAAGCTTTTATCTGACCTAAACCTAGAAGACTATAATATTTTACCTGCGAGCGAATTAAGACCTCCTTGGGACGTCATTTCTCTCTAAACTATTGATATTTTTAACAATCTGACAAAAACACAAACTGCTGCTGACATTTACATTCACACCAAGAACAATATAGTAATTTTAATTCCATTTTTACAGATGGCTCTAAAAGCCTTGACCATGTTGCAAGCGCTGTTGTTACCCCTATATCCACAATATCTGAAAAATTACATTCAAAATGCTCCGTATTTACATGTGAATGCCATGCGGTTTATCTGGCTCTTCAATTTATTTCTTCTCAAAGGTTGAAAAAATGGATAATATATTCAGATTCAAAAAGTGTCATAGTTGCCCTACAAAATAGAGAACTGAATACACATTCTATTATAAATAATATTTTAAACCTATACAGCAATTTACTCCTAAAAGAATATGCCATAATTTTTTGTTGGGTGCCAGGCCATGCTGGCATTTCGGGTAATGCAACAGCAGATAAAGTGTGCTAAGTCAACAAACAATGTAACAAACAACCCCCTTACCTACACAGATATCAAAAATGCAATTGATAATAAACAATATTTACACTGGCAAAATGATTGGGAAAATGAAATAAATAATAAATTGCATGACATTAAACCTTCTATTAAATCTTATAAAAGTTAGTCGAACATTAGTCGAAAGCAGGAAGTAATATTAAATCGCTTGCGCCTTGGCCACTCTCGATTAACCCATAAACATCTTTTATTAAGCGAAACTGCACCCGAATGTTGTCATTGTAGAGAACAGCTCACAATTAAACATATTTTAACAAAGTGTAACGAATTTAAAACACAGAGACAACGCCACTTTGGTTGCTTTAATCCAACATTGATTTTATTAATTGGAGATAAACCCCACAAAAACATTTTTAATTATCTAAGGGACATTGGTTTTTACAAATCAATTTAGCTTTAACTTATAGCAGAATGTTTCTTATAAAACAAGTTGTCGGTGCGGTATGGCCAAAAATGGCTTTTGCGCCAATAATACTTAATTAACTAACTAACTGTCCAAAGATCGTGTCGAATGTTATTAATAATTTGGTTTTTAATTGTCTTAAAACTAAAAACCACAGAAAAAGCAAGCGCAAGAAACTGTCTGCCTGCAACCTTATCTCTCCTCTTTCTTAGAGGTTGTCCAGTAGATGTTGCATAAGGTCATGAGAATACACGCATGATAATACGCACCCTGATCAGTAGGTTGATCAGATTGTAAATAATATTTCTCAATGTTAATAATTTCTAAAATCCACCAGATGGCGCTCTTACCAGTAACGTAGAAGGATTAATTGCATCCAATTTCCTCTACCGCGTTATAACATGAACACCATTCCTTGTTTTGCTATTAAATATGTTTCGTTGAAGGCGTTTGCAATGCTTTAAAACCCCGGAATCTTCGTATTAAACACATCTCTTTCTCTTAGAGTCAGACCGTACCTGCACAATGTCTGCAGCAAGAACCACGATGGCTCAGGGGTTAGAGCGTTTACTTTCCAATGAGGGTTTGAATCCCAGCGATGGCTGGTCGATATGAATTACGCATCAGGCTTGCACCGATCACAGAACTAACGAAAAATATCCTGAGTGGTTGACGGATCATGGGTTAATGTTTTATGAACAATAGTGGGATAGCATGGGTTCTTCCAAAAAGGCAAATTGCTTCCAATAATCGATCCAGAAGTTCCTTTGTCTTCTGGATTGGGTTCAAAATTACAAGGCTGCGGAGTTGAACAATAGTGGTCGTAAACCCAAAAATTAGGTCTTCTAGTTATTATTTACTAGAAGGTTACAGTGCCATTCATTAAATTAGGTAGTGCGCAGAGTGTCTATAATGAAATGGTTTTTAAAAGCTTTTATACATTGAAAAGTCCTAACTCAATCTGAAGGTAAAGCAAATTACTATTATAGAAATATATTCACGCAATTTTAAAAACCTTGACGAGACGAATTATCTTGAAAAAATATTGTGTAATAAAGAGGAAAAATATGTAGTCCATAGGTTGAAAAAGCTTAAAATTATTCAAATTAAAAATCTTATTTTCTATTATTATTATTTTTAAATAAATCATAAACCTGAATTTTCCTCCCTTGTTCTTCGGTTCCCCTAACGCTTTTGCCTAAGTTACAGTCCTTCTTCACATTATTAGACTCACTGAAGTTTTTCAATAACTACATGTTTTACACGAGTTTTGTATTCAATAATTTTTTATTTTAACATACATGTAATGGGTTTTTGTTCTGGAGATTTTTTATATATACTTCCTATTTGTATTTATTTTTAGCGTATTGCATTACAATGTTAACCAATTGACACACGACCGTAAACAAATGCAAACCGGTTTCAGTAGCATTTTTGCGTCCGTCAGTCGCGGACACGTTTCTGTTGCTTTAAGCGCTGTGCGTGTGTGTGTGTCTGTTTCGCAGTTTAATACTACTCACTTATTTGTTTATTTTGTGAACAATGCTTGTAACTAAACAATTGGAACAAAAGGAGCGATCTTTCTCCCGCGTTAGAAAGCTGAAGTAAAGGCCCTCGTGAATGCTAAAATATTTTCAAATCTCGAAATTTCACGAAAATTGAAAGTTTTTGAAGCTAGCGTACGACGCATAAAAAGGAAAAAAAATCAAAATAAAAAATAATATTTTTAAAAATCACGTTTTTGTAGTGGAGAATAATAATTAAAAAATAAAAATTTGAAAAACGAGAAACGTGGGGAGCATGAAATATATGACAGTAATGTTATATTAGTGTATGTATATCTGTAATTGTATCTGAATGTGGATGTGGAATATGTTTGTGTATGTGGCTGTGCATGTGTATGAGTAAGAAAATGTGCATATGTATGTGTATATATGCTGTTATGTATTTCATGAGGCCTCTCGTTTTTCGTTTTTCAAATTATTCTCCTCTACAAAAACGGGGTTTTTTAAAATATTACTTTTTATTTTAATTTTTTTTGTACTCACTTCCAAAATCTCACTTTTTTTTAATCACTGTGCACAAAACTTTTCAACTGACAAGTGACACTAATTTGAAATAATCGAATCGACAACAAAAGACAATCGCGAAAATATTAATTTTTCCTTATTTTAGATTTATTTTGCTTTATATGTATTCTCTTCAT